TGTGTGCAACGACGAGCACTGGTTCTAAATAGAATTGACATGACAACTATCCTTCTGATTACTTTAAGCTTCCCTGGATTTCAATTCAATTCAAATTGTGCCTTTCATTTCTCCTTACTGATACTTAAGCATAGATTTTTAGCCATTGGAGATTGATAACAACTGAAATGAAAAGCAAGCTGTCAAACGACGTTCAAGCAGTCAGGGGCTGGCTAGACAACGTAGATGTCCAATCCTTTACTTTAGAAGTCACTGGTGTCGCCATTTTTGTTACTATCTAATCCTCTGTGTCATTTGGAAATATACAGTTTTTTCCCAATTATTTCATAGAAAATTATAAAGATAAGTAAGTAAGTAGGTAACAACTTTATTTAGGGAGGGTAACACGACAGTATAACTGATAAACTAGTGGTCCTCTTTGTTAAAATTTCAACCGATTAATCTTAAAATAACTGAGACTAGCAAAAAGTATGAACATTAATCACAAAATATTTATTATCAAAAATATTTACAAAAATTAGTTAAAAACACATACATATCTCTATAAAATAACTAAGAATAATACAACGTATGAATATTAATCGCAAAACATCCATCATCCACAGTTAAATATATATAAATTAATTTAAAGACAAAAAAACATCTCTGTTTACAACACTATGCTATGAAACGTTTTTTCATGGCCGAACTGAAGGTGCTAGGTGTGTTTGCTCTGATTGATCACCCTGTCACACCTTACCATAGTCACCAGCCTGAACAACTTTACTTCTATGAAAACTGTGTCAAAAATATGAAATTATTACGATAGATAAAAGGTCATAACGAAGTTTCCTTGTCGCACTCTACCAACCTTGACCCGATGGATTTCATAGCTAAATGCAAAGAACTTCCAAAGCCCACATCTAAATTTGTCAAATCGTTTGCATACACATTTAAATGTTCTTGAAAGAGTACTTGCTCAAGTGGTGAACTCTGGTTTTCATACCAGCTTTCTTGTAATTTTTCTTCATATTTTCTTCTTTGGACTTCTCTATGGTAAAGGCTCTCTGCATCATTTAATAAAAGTTGAATGGTCATATCTTCATAGACCTCGAAGCTTGGCTGGTGCTCCGTGTTAGGATCATGTTCATTACAACTTAAGGATTCTGTGGTGGCTATGTCTTTTGTTCCTTGCCGAGGAGCTTGGTAAATTAGGTCCACGCACACGTAGAGATCAACAGGAGTGCCTTTGTTGCCGCTTTCTGAGTGGGACGATGGTACACCGGTCTCCTCAGCTAGAACGTTGATATAACCTAGCATTTTGGGTTCCTCCTGGTTATTTCCCAGTGACATGTAATGCTCCCTGTTTAAAACAAGATCTTTGTACCCTGCGTTTTCATACATGATGTGCCCACCCTCAGAGTCATCCTTGGCACTTTTAGCACCAGTTGCGTGGCCCTTAGCCCTACCGGTCGCTTCATCAGAAGAAGGTTCGTCTACATTTATCTCGTCGTAAAAATCACCATCCGATGAGTAAGTGCAAGCAATGCCATCAATGTGATTTTGAGGATGTCGGTCCACGTTGGAAACCTTGGAGGCTTCGGCAGGGCCGGAAGAAATCGAATCGGTGCTCCCAACTGAACCAGCCGTATGTTCCTCATTTCTTATTATCCGATAGGTGGCTTCTTCAAACACCATTTTTATCGCGCTATTCACCTGGTTCGTTTCATGCTCGTCAGCATCGTTGGACACTCCATCAGAGTGATTACTTGAGGTTGACTGGCGGAATGCAGGGGAACTCGGTGGCGGTGGCAACTGAGAATTCGTGTAGTCGTATTCGTATACCTCAGCGGTGTCGGTCTCGTTTTGGCGAACGCTGTCGACATACAGGTATTTGTGATGAGTAAAAAATCCTTGAGAACACATTTTCTCGATATCTTCTCTAGATGGGTGTTCCTCAGAGTTCGTCACGTGAATTGCATCTTCAGGCTGAGATACTGGCAAAACCGGCCATTCACTCTTCTCATGTCTGTTGAGCCACAATGTCATTATCCACGACAGCATCGGTTCCCTTCAAAAAGTGCAAGAGATATGAGAGGAATTTTGAGATCCAGTTGAAACAAGAAACAAAATCATACCTCACCACAATCAGTATCATTGACTGGAAGACAAGACAGCGCTGAAGCAGATGACGCTTATAGTCAGTGAATATCCGCGGTATTTTAAAGAGTGGGTAAGAAAATCGCTTTCTACATCCGCTAGTAAAGTATACCATACCTTCTTGAGAGACAATCAATAATTGCAATAAAAGGAGGTCTCTGCGTTGGTTCGTATGTCCAGCACTGATGCATCAAAATGTAAACCCAATGAGGACAGCTGCTTCGTTGGTCAAGAGGTCCGTTTTCTTTCATATGATCTAGAATCTGAAGGATTAAAAATCATCCTTAGTTTTCGTAAAGATGTAACAAAGTGTGCTTCTATTTCATCCTGAATTGTATTACTGGCTTTTATTGTAACTCTTGTTAGAGTCAAACTCATTTTGGCAGATCTCATTTTCGCATTGAGCGTATTATAGGTATGAACTTACCTTATCTGCCGGAATATTGTAGTAGGGTAGTGCAGCAATTCTATTCTGTTGACCAGCTGCGAACGCAGAGTACAATTCCCATGCAAAGATTCCAAACGCCCACACATCACTAGCGTGAGTGTAGTGGTTCTCTTGGATTACCTCTGGCGCGCTCCTGTCATGAAAGAAAATTAATCGTGTCGAAAACTCTTCCAGTTAAACACTATCTGGTTTTTTTTTTGTAACCGTCTTCTGAAGTGCACATGTACACATATTTTGTTTTCATGGTTTAAAAAGAACTGTATGAATTTACATGTGATCGTTCTTGCGAGCACTTCCTTTAAATCACAGATATTTTACTTTGTCGCACCATAATGACCAACAGGTCTAAAAACCCTTCCAACATTTTCTTTAATCGAACCTGGACATGCAAATTCCCAGGATATCTGCCCTAAAATAGGGTGTTTAATTGACGCCCAGCAGAAAACTCATTTTTCGTGTAGTATAGATTACCATGTTTCGAGTTTATGCTTACCAACGAACGGAATCAGAAGGTATGACAGCCTCTACGACACATGACGTACTAGTGGCTTCATAGACACTCATTGGTAGAGATTTAGAGCGACCAAGCCGGCCAACCTGGACCTGAAGAAAATCATAACAGATAAACCATATTTTTATTTATTTTATGGTTCAAATTATTTGCGTAATTTACAGACCTCGTCCTAAAACTTGTCGTTCATTTTATAAGTGAAAACAGAAATTAAACCTTGTGAAAGTACCATTCACTGCTTCTTCTTTAAGTTGCGATCCTTAAAGTCATGAGTGAAAGTGATCCTCACAGTGATGTGCACTACTTAGGCAGTAGTGAAAATAAGGCCTGAAAAAAATTCAGGCCTGTACGGGATTTGAACCCATGACCTCTGCGATACCGGTGCAGCGCTCTACCAACTGAGCTAAGAAGCCAACTGGGAGCTGGTCATGATGGTCGTTCTAAATAAACCCGTGAAGTGATGAATAGACGAATGACTTTCATATATTCTTAACCGTCGATCCTTAAAGTATTTGCAAGTTTTACGAATAGTAACAACAGTTGTGGCTGTGCTAGAACAGCAGGCAAAATAACCATAGGCTTTATATACATAATGTGTTCCTTGTTTACTTGTTTCAAGAATTGTTTGAATGGCACTGGCTAGACGAAGACGCTTCACATGAAATATAAAACGTCTAAGCTTACCTAGACTCGAAAGGTGATCGACTATCTCTTAGGGGCAAATTTAACGGTGCTCAGTTGTATTAAGTCTCGAATGTACCTGGACACGTCTATGGAGCCTAACTGGACTTAAATTCCGTGTATGGTACTCACCTTGTTTGGTGCCACCACATAAACGTATTCAGCACGAAGATCTCCGTGCAAGATATGATTTACGTGAAGATAGTGTAAAGCTGTAGCAACCTGGCAGAGGAATGTGTTGATATCTTCCCACTGACATTTTCTGCTGAGAACAAACTCCTTTAAATTTCCATAGGGTAATCTTGGCGAGATCTAACGAGAGAAGAATACGTTAATGAAAAGACCATGGAAAAAATGAAATTTGAAGCCCAAAACAAGCACGAAGCTCAATTTCCATCGAATAGCACAACAAGGAAATCCTACTAAAAGATGATACTCACTTATGGTGGGTCTTTAATAAGAACTTATTCTATATTAAAGTTCACACGGCGACCAGGTGGACAATCAGACACGGTTTGACGCTACTCTGGTTTTATAGATTTAATGAATGTAACCGAAGAAGTTTACAATTCATAGACACAGCGTTGAAGTTGCTCAAAAACTTTTTCAGATTTTGGGGAGTAAGCCTAAGGATCCTGTCACGAAAGAACAACGAACCGACGCCATTTATTCTATTCCTTGCAATGACTGTGAAAACGAATACATCGGACAGACCAAACGTCAGTTTGGTACACGTTTGAAAGAGCATCAAAAAACGGTTTTCTTTTGCAAAATGGAAAATTCAGCTTCATCGGAGCACACATGCCTAACCAACCATAAAATTGGGTGGGATAATCCTAAAATTATCACCACTAATCTGCGTTACCACCAGCGCCTTTGTTTGGAGGCTTGGCATGTTAACTCCGTCCACGCTCCTTTAAATCGTGACGATGGCGGTTTGCTTCCTGACGCCTATTTACACCTCGTCAGAAAAAAAGGCCGCTAATTAGTGATCATATAAAAGGACTTCTTGTTGCAGCGTTTAGATCACCCCTGATGATGGCACTAGACTGTAGTGTCGAAACGTTGGGTCTATGAATTGTAAACTTCTTCGGTTACATTCATTAAATCTGTAAACCAGAGTAGAATCAAACCATGTCTGAAGGACTTATTCTGTCAATAAGATTGCTGTTTCAAATATGATAAACTTTAAGCAAACGAAATTTAAATGGGCCTTCTTTCAAAATGCCCCTTGCAATGCCATTGAATACTCTATCGACCAATGAATACAGTAGAATCGCTAACAAGAAATTAAATTTTAGTGACGCCGACTGTGAGCAAAGTTGGTTGAAATTCTGATTAGGATGCAGCTGATTTATGCGTCCAAAGTATAGCGTCTTACTTACGATGTCAACGATTGGACTGCGGGAATCTAAATGTTCTATCCGGCTGATAGGAAGAAGAAAACTATTGCTAAGACATAGCAATCTTCTCAGGTGCTGTTTATCTCCTCCAGCGATTTTCTCTTTTATGGCATCCTAATGAAAAGAGGTATCAGCAATTCAGTACCAGCAAATATGATCAATCCAACCAAACTATAGATGCATTAGCGATTGATGCACCGGTGACTTTGAAAAAGCTTAAACATAATAAATTTAACCTGAATGTGCTCTGACATGCCTCACTGTTTATCTCTCGCGCTTGCTAATCATTGCAATTTTTCTTATCATATTATCATCATTGCCTTTATTATTATCATGATCAATACCATTATAATCAATATGTTTATCATCATCATTACAGTAATAAATGGTAGTGGTATGTTTAGTTGTATAATTTTTATTGAAATGATGGTGTAAAAAATATTTGTGTTTACTAAAAATTAAAGCAGTTTGGGCAAACCTGTTGATAATTTGTTGGTAGATCTACAAGTGTTTCAGGAGTACCATATCCTTGAGGCTACATATCAAAGAAAAAACAATAAATTCCAGGTACACAAAATGAATTTTTATCGTTTTTTTAAATAGATTACTTTGGATGGATCGTGAGTAAGGAATAGTAATGGTAACAATAATACTGATATGATAATAACAATGATAATAGCAATAAAACAAAGAGGTAAAGTTCAAGTGAGATCCATGATAGTAAAACATCAGAATTATTTTCTAATTTAGTATTTCCTTTCTGTATACATTGATAAATGATGCACCAAACTCTTGTGAGTTTGCAAAACGTAATTACCTCGTATGTAACTTCTGCATAGTCATATTGTTCTTCGTAGATGGTTCCTGAAGTCGATTCAATGTCGCTGTAGTCTGAGCAAAGTGAAAAAATAAAGATTAGTTCTTTGTCTGAATTAATGGTTCTGGCAAAACAAGAGGTGAAGTCTGTACTTCTGAGAAGTGGCTTATTCAGCCAAAGTTTATCTTGGTTTTTGTTGCATGAATTAAGTACAGGCATTCCTGCATCTCCCTTAATAGAGCGTCTACCACAAGCTAACCCCGCAGTATTTCGTCGGCTTGCCCGACAGTTCGCCGATAACCATTTATACTCCTGGATGGAGAGAGGCATTGTGAGGGTAATGTATCTAGTCCTAGAAATCAACATCGTTCAATGCGCTTATTGGTGGGCCAAACCCAATAAATGGTATTGAATGAAATTTGTGATGGAACCGTGTTTTCACGAAAAGCTTAAAGGTCGATAAACAACAAAAACACCAATAAGCGGGAGTGAAATGAATATTCTGCACGAATATTTTGCGAATGAAATGTTAATCTTTGGAAAACGACAGCATATGTTATAAGTGGGTCGAAGTGAGGTTGTCTATCCGTTTTCAGTCATAGTAAGGACTCGAAATCTTAGCTTAGTGAAGAAATATGGGAGTGAGTTAGCTTACTCTTTACGTAATTAAACCAGTATCTACCTGGAACGGTTTCATACAGCACAGAATCAGTTGATTCTTGTGATTGTTGAGGTTCCTGTAAAAATAAACGCGGAGGAAGAATTTAGCAAAGCATACGACAACAAAAAATGTTATTTGTATTCTCATGAATTTGGAATCAAAACAATATACAGGGGAAACTGAAGCCCAGACGTTCGCTGTCTAGGCTACGATGTTCTGCTAGAGAACTCAGATTGTTAGGTAACTATGAGTTTCATGCGTAACGTCCGTGTTGCATTCTTTAAGATCAGCAATTTCATAACGTGAGTAAATGGGATAAGAAAGATGGTAAATTCTTTGAGCTCCGAAGTTGCATAAAGAAAAGAGTTGTATGGGAAATCTCTGCCAGAAAGAAAGCTTTAAGGTTTGTAACGATACGATTATGAGAGCAGATTGTATCGAGAGAAGGACTTAACATACAAAGTGGAATTGGCTTCTGCTAACCAGAAGTTGACATATCGATTAATACTAAACGTACACTTTCAATGCTCATCTCGAGACTTGGTGGGTCAAGCCGCGGTTTCTCTTCACCTGAAAAAAGTCAAATAAAACGGGATAAACAGTTAGGAATGTCATTCCTATAATTTACTGCTTTGACTTGCTGCGATCATCTGCATCGGAAACATAATTTTGCGTTTCCATCGTCGAAAAGGTCATTGAAATATATATCAACTTACGATACAACATGATATCCGGGGATGAAGTATTGCAAATATCGATAGTTTTGAAAGTAAAAAGGACAGCAAGTATTAAAATGAGAAGGTTAAGCATGATCAAAATAACTTGATCTCAAACCTGTTGAAATTTGGTTTACACCGGTTACGTTATAAACGGCGCCTTTTTCATCTGAAAAATTGCACCCTCTCCGTCCTCCACATAGAAAGACGAATCGTTTCCAACTGCTTGTTCGTTTTTCATAATATCCCACAATTTAAGGTCGTGGTCAAGCTTGTGGAAAATGCGTGTGATGTCTTTCCCTTTGTAATATGTAAGTTAAAAATGCGACGCTTCGGCAGAGTTTTGAAAACTTGGAAATGTTTTTGTTGAGTTTTCATTATAATTTATGAAATAGAGCTGTAATGATGTTGTCAAAGTGTTCACTTTAAGAAATCACCAACCTGAGCTTACTATCTTTGATCGCATATATTGGAATTGTTCTTTGAGCTCAAACAAGCCGATTCTTTCACCCCTTTTTCTTTTCCAGCACTGCTTCATAAGGTTGTATTCATCATCTTCGATGCAACTTTCCTGCGGTAATATTCCCTCGTCGGTCTTTTGCAAAACCTTAAAATAGCACGAGAACGCTTGGTCTTAACGCTTTAATTGTGTAACGTTTAGATTCAAATAATCAATAATAAAGTAAAAGAATGCATCCTTTATCACAATGACTCATCTTTCTGGTTCGATCTTTCAAAATGGCAAGATTCGGGCTAAATTCTCTTAACCTTTTGATATTTTACGGGCAACAGTTATGACAACAAAATTGGATAGATCAAATTTTGTATTGCTATGTAAGCTAGGTATTGCTATGACAGAAGCTTTTGTAACGGTTGTGTTAAAATGGTAATGTCAGTATTACTTTGTGTGAAATTGTATAAATACAGTGGCTTTCAATGTCATAGAACACTATGGTTGAAGTTGTGATATTGTTGTAGCAATTTCATCGTATAAGTAGTAAATTAGAGATACAAAACAATACTGTAATTCTTCTTACATAATCGACGACATTTTCGTCTCTTTGTATGTCTTTATATGGGCGACAACCTAAGGTGAGCGTCTCGTAGACAAAGACTGCAAAGGCCCACACATCAGAGGGAATGGAGTAACAATTTCTTGATAGTGTCTCTGGAGCTTTGCATCTCACCGGCAGTGTTTCACCACTTTCGCCTTTAAATTCTTTTAAGCCATCGTAGTCCAAAGCGTATTCGTAGCCAGATGATCTGTCACCTAAAGATGTGATTAGAGCAGGAGGTTGAGTATTATTCCCCTGGTTGTCATTCCCATCTGTGACATCAACTTCTCCGAAAATAATGGAGAAAAAATCGTATTAACATTTGTCTCTGCTTATCTCTACCAGTTTGGCTTGAGTTGAATGAAACTATAAAATAACAAAGATTATGAGCAGCAGAAAAGAAACTCTGAGAGTTGACCAATCTTACCTTCCTTGTTTATTCCGTGCTGCAGCACCCCTAAAGAGTGCATTCCACTAAGCTTGGCAAAATAGCCATCGCCAACTAGAATGTTTTCCGCCGTAACAGCTCGATGAACCAAATTAAGCTCTTGGTGTAGGTATAGGAGGGCTTCTGTTACTCCAATTATCATTTTGTAAAGAGCAGCTGACGACAGAGGCTTGCGTTCCCTTGAGCCTCTTACAAATTGGAGAAGGTTGCCGTACTTTTCATATGAAGTTATTATGTGATGAGGAAAGGCTGTTGTGTTGTAGGCGAGAAGACAAGGAATGTTTGGATGCTTCCTTAGATTGCTTAATTGCCACAGGTTGTATGCTTCTGCACGTAGTCGCTTTTTCGCCTCCGACTGTGTTGACGTTTCTTCCTCCACGAGATCCTTCTTGGAGACGGCTAAGACTTTTACGGCCACTTCTTGGCGTTTTAACACGCCGTGGCTGACAAAACAGCTCGAGGTCACGTTACTCGGCCTAGTAGTTACCATGTTGTCAATTTCCAAAGTGTGTGTCTTGTAACACGACACCAGGTGCTGATTGTGGAGTTCTGTTGGAAGCATGTGCTGGTCACTTTGGTTGTCAAAGAAATGAGGTACAAATAATCTCTTGATGGAACGGTCAGGACAGAACAGCATCCCTCTAGAGAAGCGGTCGACAATAGCTCTGCACTCTGGTTTCTTCCTTGCCTTTTCATCTTTGCGAAGATGAACCAGACATAAACTAGCTTCGAATCTCAATGCTTTGAATGAAAAAAGATGATTATGATTATTATGGCGATACTAAGTGGTATCCTTTCTAGCCAGATCCTTACCTACATAGACACGGACACAGATAGCCCGATCATGATCATTCTTAATCCGGGGGTTTAAAGGTATCACGGACGCACCCACGGTAACTCGAGTGGTAACTCGCATTGATTGAAATAAAGTCACAGGATAGGTCTTTTCTTCGTCTGATGCAATTGTCAAGAATGTCGGTCTATCAGAATGAATGGGAATGAATTTCCTTAAGGAAGTCAGCTTTTGCAAAAAGGATCAAAATCAATGATAATCATGATCCCCACCGGTATGTAGCTTTTGAACAACTCTTCCAACACTAGCTTGTCATTCCTGTATTCCTATTTTCCTGTAGGAAGCGGGGATGGCGCGGTGGTGAGACCACTCGCCTCCCACTACTGTGGCCCGGGTTTGATTCTCCCTCCTCAAAACCAATATTCAAAATTTCAATTCGACCCCAAAAGAGTGGAAAGGAATTTCCATTGCTAAACTGCTACTATTATCACTATTATTATTATTTTTAATTATATTGTTATTAATATTATTATTATTATTGTAATTACCTTTAGTCGCATTCTTCATTGCAATCTCTGATAGTATAGATGCCACCTGCAAACAAAACCTCCAGTCATTTCCTCCTCCACCATCAAGACGAGCCATTAACACCAGCCTTAAAAGTTTCATGGTCCTTCTCTCTTTGTTAATCTGCTCCGGACGTTCCGTGTGGACCTAAACGAATTGATACAGTTTGTTTACTCATGGGAGAGCCTTGAGGGTAAACAAGTTGATCTTAACAGTATTTGTTTTGTTTTTGTTGTCTATCTCTTTTCGAGGGTTGTGTAGAAGGGAAGGTGGGAAGGGAGGGAGGAAAGATGGGGAGAAAGGATCTTGAGGGAGAATGGTGAGGATTAAACATTGATAAGATATTTTACGGCCTTAGTGAAGTTTCTGAATTTGAAACAAAATGGTCTGATTGCATGTGAAGTGAGTTTTACGAGACACCATGGTGCCATATATCTTTTGGCTATTCAAGATCTAATTTGATTTTCAATTTGATCGTCGTTCACTTTTAAATAATGAAGTACAAAACCTATGTACATGGCATCTTTGCACCAGTAGCCAAAGGGGACTCTGCTGAATAAAGGACACCTACCTTCCCGTGCAGATAATAAAATATACAATGCAGCTCGCACCATTTCACTCCGGATCTCTTCACCTTTTTTAGAAGTGACAACTCCTCATTAGGAGTGTCCGAATTTGCACAGTATCTCTTGCATTCCTCGAGGTAATTTCCCAAATCTGAACCCACTTTCTTATTAGGTGGCCGCGTAAGATAACTAATGGCCTCCTGGATGAACTCAATAGAGTATCTTAAAATGTCTTTTTTTTTCAAGGTCATCTTACTGAAATAGTTTTTAATTTCCAGGAGCTGTTTCAAGTTGTTCTCTGCGTCAATTTTAGAGAACCCTGCTTGATTCTGGTGAATGATTAACTCCGATAGTATGCAGCCGTATACTGTTAGCCTAAGAAGTCGTATTGAGTCTGCCTCCTCCTTGAATGCTCCGTCTTGGGAGACGATGGTCAATCGCAGTATCTTTTCCACACTCAACAAATTTTGCTTAGCACTCTGAATGGAATCCCTGTATAGCAGATGCTGAAGTTGTTGTAAAGAGTGCTTTGCAACGTCACCGCAACCTTGGCTGCTGCTTACTTGAGCAAGGACCCTGTACACATCAATGTTGTTTGCACCAGATTTGCCCCACATTTCTCGTTCCAGGTATGGCAATATACAGCGAAGTATAAAAAATTCTTTTTCCTCCTTCAGTGAACCAGCGGAAGTGTCCATTTCCCGCATAAACTTCTCTGGGTTTTCAAGAAAGGATTCGACGGACCACTGAAAATCGTTTTCACCTGTTGAAGTATAACGGTAGAAAACAGGATCAGAATGGTAATGTTAATTCAAATGATGAGCAATCGCGGTCTCGTCAATCCACAAAAGTTGTCAAGTTTTGGGAGCTGTTCTTACCATCTTACCTTTTTGGATAAGAATTCCATTGATTGGTTTTGAAGTCCAATCTCCCACATTTGTTTGTTGATAATAATTACGGGGACAGTACTCCTCTTCAATATTCCTAGCGTAATAGCTGAGGCTCTCATCAATTTCGTGGTTCTGTGGAGTGCTGGTGTTTCTGTCTTCTTCTGAAATAACTAAGAAATGGCCGAGTAAGAGAATTGAAAACGCTGTACAAAAGCATCTTAAAACTTCATATTTTCAAAATATTACATAGAAATCAATTACAAATAAATTGTACCCGTTGGTTGATTCGTTGGGGCACCAGTGATACGAGCACGGGGGCCGACCGCTACGTTACCACCTCCATTTATATTGACGTTTAACTTTTTGAAGACAACTTTGCGGCGTCTGCTTGGCACGTCTAAAGTTGGGATTTTAAGAAGTTATGTTTGTTAATAAGTCATTTCAGCAACATTTACTTCCTTATCAATGAAAGATTTTTTTATGCACTAGATACGATTTCAATGAAATGTGTGCGTTCGAACAAGAACATTGCTTGATGCAGCATGCAACGAATGTAAGCAATATATACTTCATTATTTAATTACTAGTCCACGTTTGTCAACCACAAAAAAAGATGCCGAATAACGAATAAATACCGATCTTTCAACAACCTTACCAGAAAATTCTCCATAGCTTGAGTCGCTGGTATCTTCAAGATAAAAAGCAATGTGGTAATAGTTTGCTTTTGAAGTGCCTCAAAACACTTTCACTCTCACTTTCACTAGGCTGTCAAGTGTCTACTGATGATTGGGAATTTGAGTCATGCCACTCTCAAAGCACCAGATTAAAAATAGTAGTTGTAGTCATTCAACAGGAAGTGGGTTATTAAACATATGAAAATTGTTCTGAGCCTCTTGAAACTATGCCTAATTGAAAATAATTTTTTTTATCAAATAAAGTTAATAATATAAAGTGGCCACCGTAAATACTTCCTAAAGCTGTCGTCTCGAGCGTTAGCTCTTCGTCAGAGCGAAAAATCATGCATAATATCACTCAAGTAGGCAGTGTAATTGTCCATTAGCGCTTATTGTATAAGCTCCTTTTATAATTCAAAGAGTTGTTTATAGCGACTTCATTGAAAAAAATTGGTTTCCCCGCAAACCTCTCCGGTAATGGAAATACGGAAAGTTAACGCGGGGAGATTTATGAAGTTCAGCCTAATACACACCAAAAACCTTCGTGAACAGGACTTAGTTGAAATAAAAGTTTACCTTAATCGAGTTCAGGGAATCAGCAAAGAATAATCTCAACAATAGATAGGAAAGTGTACACTGCAAGTGCTTCGCTGTGCTTGGTTGATTTAATAGACTTTTCGCCGACAACGATACGATTGGCAAGTGTCTATTTAAATCCCAGAACCGTTTTAGATAGTTCCGTTGAATGACGCAAAATTAGACTAAATGAACAAACTTCTGTCAACAAATTAGCAATTTGTTGGATTAAGAGGCCTTCATTAAACTTCCTGCTTTCGATTCCACGAATCTTCACCAGGAAGCTCTCTGCATACTTATTTCTGCACACTCTCTTAGGGACGGCTAAAACTGATACACTCAAGCCAAGCTCATTTCAAGACACGATCAGACGGCGAAGCTTAAACGTTTTGAACGGCAAATGGGAAGTAAGTGAAAACAAAACCACTCGCGCCAATAAACCTTGGTTCAATTTCAAAGAGCACGAGTCGGTGCGCAGTGTTCGATTAGGACGTAAAAGGTCGAGCGGTTGTTGAGGTTATCATTGATGATTTGATTAAATGATACCAATCACTCAAACGCATCAAATTGTAACTAACCGTCGTATGTGGCCATCTCAAATGGTGAACAGAATGATACCAACAACCACAGAAACGTCCATCAAGTTACGAGGCAGTGCTCAACTCCCTTAACAGAAACGATAATGAAAAGGTCGTTAGAGCATCGAGACTATATAACAACTTAGGGGAACCCCCAGATCATTAAGTAATAATTCCGTGATGACTTCATACCTCAGGCACGTTTTGATGAAGAATATATCTACATGCCACATCCATTTCTAGAGTAAGATTACCCTTTTGAGAATCGGTTCAGCAGTCAGGCAAGCCTGGCCTTGAGCAGTGAGATAATACCACGATAACTTAGCTCTCTTCTCAACCACTTGCGATCGTGTGGCTGCTATCAGACCAGTGTTGATTCAAGAATTTAGCCCACTGACGAATTCCAAATCGAAGTAACGCAATCTTCGCGGAAGTCTTAAAATAATTTGATATGGTACCGGTATTTACTATTCTTTTTTTCGAGCCTTCTTTTTTCAAACTCAATCACTTTTTCGCTTAGAGTTACTTAAAATGGGAATATGGTTCATAACTAAGCAGTTTTAAGCGTAATTTAAGCAGGAAAACCAAGTGTTTATCTTTCCCTGCTAAAGACTGCAAGATACGTCAGCGGAAGCCTATTAACGCTGCGTCATCGTCTTTGCTTTTTTTTCTCGAACTTATGTATATTCAATTGTTAGATATGGATTACTAAGTAAAAAAAAAAAATAATTTCAAAACAGTAATCGAACAAATTTCTTTAAGCCGGCTCCAGATGCTCGTATCTCAAAGCGCGAAGGCTTTCAAATGTATTTCAAAACCCCAATTATTTATAGTCACAGAGCTGTCAATTTTTCGCCGTAAGCTGCTTAACGAGCAGTTGTTCGGCATGACTGCGCTTTTTTTTGGAGGGTATGGAGTGAAAATTGTCTAGTACTTTGAATGTCTGCTTATGTCAGGTGAACAGGTGAAATCAGTATTGCTTACATCCGTTTCATCCATCCGCTTTGAGATACGAACATCTGAAGCCGGTCTTCAAACCGGCTCCAGATGTTTGTGTCTATAATTTAGGGGAACCCCCTAGCTCAATAAGTAATAATTCCGTGACGACTTCATACTTTAGGCATGTTTTGATGAAGAATATATTACATCACACCCATTTCGATAGCGAAATTACCCTTTTAAAATCGGTTCAGCAGTCAGGCAAGCCTGGCCTCGAGCATTGAGGTAATACCATATGACTTAGCTTTCTTCTTAACCACTTGCGATCGTGTGGCTGCTATCAGACCACTGTTGATTTTGTTTTATTGTGATTATTTCTCTTAAGTATACTGAATTGTTAGATATGAATTACTGAGTAAAAAAAACTCATTTCAAAACATCAATCCAACAAATTTCTTTGAGCCGGTTCGAGATGCTCGTATCTCAAAGCGCAGAGGCTTTCAAACTTGTTTCAAAATCTCAATTATTTATAGACACAAAGCTGCCAATTTCTCACCATAAGCTGCTTAACGAGCAGCTATTCGGCATAACTGCGCTCTTTTTTGGAGGGTATGGAGTGAAAATTGTTTTGTAATTTTAATGTCAGTTTACATCAGGTGAACAGGTTAAATCAGTATTGCTTTCGTCTTTGGGGAAGTTGAGTGTTTATTCAACTCATAGATGCCTTGTTCCAGTGCTTCCTAATATTAGTAACCGACAGGAAAGCCTCCTCTTGTTTCCTGTGTCTTACGATGAAAATTAATCAGCGCATTTCAAGTACTCAAAGGTGACTTCAAACGACCTTTTTTCAGACTCTTACATGTAGTTTTGCGAGTATTTGGCTAATTTTTTTATATTTTTTTGAGAAAAATCGTGTACTCCACAGTTGTTCGAAAGGTGGTTAGCAATAATTTAGATATGAAAGTTTAACCTGTCTTTGACTTCTCCTGAAATAAAGCGGGTAACAGGGATTACATTTTAGGGGTTTTACCCTTGGTGAGCGGTGAAACCGTATAAAAAAAATAAATACAATTCACTGTCTGAAAAGCTTCAAAACTAATAAAAAACTTTTGGGTAATCCGGCCTCTGTTAGCTTCATCGTGCCTTGAACAACCCAGCCCAGGAGTCTCTTTTACTATGAATTACAAAATAGAAAAAGTTTATTTTATTGAGGGTTATCAAGTCCTTCGTGATCGAAAAGTGATAAACAATTTGTGTCAGTGCCTGTAACTTGCTTTGCCACTTATGTATTTCCCCTGCATAATTATTCAAATAGTTAGTTCTCTAAATCAAACTCCCTCCTTCAAAAAACCAACTTGTCTTGTCTCTTCCATTTAAAGACCAGAAGCTGTGAGCCATTAGATCAGTAGAGAGTTTTTTGTCACGCTCATTTGAATCTCATTTGCAAAACTACATTGTAGGATGTCAGTAAACACCAAAAGAAGAAACAATGAAGAAAATCGAGGGAATTCCTTAGATTTCAATTCAATTCAAATTGCGCTTTTCATTTCTCCCTATTGATATTTAAGCATAGATTTTTAGCCCTTGAAGATTACTTTTTGATAACAACCGAAACGCCAGCTGTCAAACGGCGTTCAAGCAGTCAGGGGCTGGCTAGACAACGCATATGTCCACTCCTTTACTTTAGAAGTCACTGTATTGTCGCCATTTTTGTTGCTACCTAATTCTCTCTGTAATTACTTTGGGAATATACAGTTTTTTCACAATTATTTCTTATAAAATTATAAAGATAAGTAAGTAAGTAACAACTTTTTTTAGGGAGGGTAACACACGATAGTTTAACTGATGAACTAGTGGCCCTCTGTGTTGAAAATTCAACCGAGAAATCATAAAATAACTATGAATAGAAAAAAGTATGTATATCAATCACAACACATTTATCATCTACAGTAAAAAATATTTACAAAAATTAGTTAAAAACACATAGATATCTCTATTAAATAACTATGAATAATACAAAGTATGAATATTAATCGTAAAACATCTTTCATCTACAGTTAAAAATATATACAAATTAATTTAAAGACACAAAGACATCTTTATTTTCATCACTATGCTATGAAATGTTTTGTTATGGCCGAACTGAGGGTGCTAGGTATGTTTGTTCTGATTAATCACCTTGTCACACCTCACCATAGTCACTAACCTGAACAACGTTACTTCTATGAAAACTGTGTCAAAAATACTTTCTGAAATTATTACGATAGATAAAGGGTCATAACGAAGTTTCCTTGTCGAACTCTACCAACCTTGACACGATGGATTTCCTAGCTGCATACAAAGAACTTTCAAAGCCCACGTCTAAATTTGTCAAAACGACGTTTGCATATACATTTAAATATTCTTGAAAAAGTACTTTGTCATGTAACAAACCTTAAGGGCTATTTTCTCTTTAGTTATCTTTTTAAGTGTGCAACGGGTCCTTTATAATTTTCATATTGTCAATCTTGTTTTTGTTTCGGCTGATCTTAACCGCAAAAGTATGAAATTTTAGGAAGAAAGTCGTTTTGAAAAGAGTCAACAAACCGAGGGTACATACATAGTATGCGGGATCTGTTTAACGTAATTCAGCATGATTCTCTGGTAAAGTAAGAAATAGTGACGTTGGTCAAATATTAACAGCTTTCTAACTGTCACTTTTATAAGCTGGAGACCAACACTTTCATGGACAGAGTAGAGTTAGATCCCGAGTTAACACGTTGTATTAAGTTCTTTCAAGAAAGGAAATAAATAAATATCAATTGAAGGAGGAGTATGAGAATGGCCATGTCTTCATAAAAAGTGAAGCTTGGCTGCTCCTCTATGTTAGGGTCATGTTCGTTAGAACTTAAGGATTCTGTGGTAGCAAGGTCCACGCACATGTCGGGATCAGCAGGAGTGCCTCTGTTGCCGTATTCTGTCTGGGACAACGGTACACCGGTCTCCTCGGCTAGTGCGTTGATATAACCTGGTATTTTGAGTTCCACCTGGTTATTTCTCAGTGGCATGTAGCACTCCCTGGTAAATGTAAGGTCTTTGTAACCTGCGTTTTCATACAAAATGTGCCCGTCCTCGGAGTCATCCTTGGCATTTTCAACACCAGTTGCGTGGCCCTCACCATATAACGAGTAAGCGCAAGCAACGCCATCGGTGTGATTTTCGAGACGTCGGTCCTCGTTAGAAACCTCGGAGGCTTCTGTAGGGCAGGAAGAAATCGAATCGGTGCTCTCAACGGACTCAGCCGTATGTTCCACATTTCTTATTCTCCAAGAGGTGGATTCTTCAAACACCGTTTCTGTCGCGTTACTCACTTGGTTCGTTTCATACTCGTCGGCAACGTTGGACGCTCCGTCAGAGTGATTACTTGGAACTGATTGGCGGAATGCAAGGAAACCCTGTGGCGGTGGTAACTGAGAATTCGTGTGGCTGTGTTCGTATACCTCAGCGGTGTCGGTCTCGTTTTGGCGAACGCTGTCGACATACAGGTATTTGTGACGAGTAAAAAATCCTTGAGAACACATTTTCTCGATATCTTCTCTGGATGGGTGTTCCTCAGAGTTCGTCACGTGAATTGCATCGCCAGGCTGAGATACTGGCAAAACCGGCCATTCACTCTTCTCATGTTTGTTCAGCCACAGTGCCATTATCCATGACAGCATCGGTTCCCTTCAAAAAGTGCAAGAGATATGAGAGGAATTTTGAGATCCAGTTGAAACAAGAAACAAAATTATACCTCACCACAATTAATATCATGACTGGTAAACAAAACTGCGATGAAGCAGATTGAAAAAAAATTGAGAAATTGACTCTTTGGTTAGTGAGTATCCGAGGTATTTTGAGAGGAGGGTGAGAGAATCGCTTTCTACATCCGCTAGCAAAGCAAACCATACCTTCTTGAAAGACAATCAGTAATTGCGATGAAAGGAGGTCTCTGCGTTGGTTCATATGTCCAGCACTGATGCATCAAAATGTAAACCCAATGAGGACAGCCACTTGGCTGGTGAAGAGGTCCGTTTTCTTTCATATGATCTAGAATCTGAAGGATTAAAAATTTTTCTTAGTCTTCGTCCACACGTAACAAAGTCTGGATCTATTTCATCCAGCTTTGCGTTGTTGGCTTTTATTGTAACTCTAATTAGAGTCATTTCGGGAGACCTCATTTTCGCGCTGAGTGTATTATAGATACGAACTTACCTTATCTGCCGGAATATTGTTGTAGGGCAGTGCAGTATCTCTATTCTGTTGACCAGCTGCGAACGCAGAGTACAATTCCCATGAAAAGATTCCAAACGCCCACACATCACTAGCGTGAGAGTAGCGGTTCTCTTGGATCACCTCTGGTGCGCTCCTGTCATGAAAGAAAACTAATCGTGTCTAAAACTCTTTCGGTTAACTCTTATCACTTTTTTCGTAACAGTCCTCTAATGTGTATATATACACATCTATTTTGTTTTCATGGTTTAAAATGAACTGTATGAAAAAAGAAATGAGCATTTCCTTTAAATCCCAATTCCAGTCCGAGTTCCAGTGGCACCCTAATGACAAACAGATCTAAACCCCCCTAACATATTCTGTTATTGAACCTGGACGTGCTCAACATGCAAATTACCTGAATATAGGCCGTAAAATAGGTGTCTAGTTGACGCCCAGCAGAAAACTAATTTTCTTACAGTACAGATTATCATTTTTCGAGTTTATGCTTACCAACGAGTTGAATCAGAAGGCATGACAGCTTCTAGGACACATGAGGTACTAGTGGTTTCATAGGCACTAATTGTTAGCGATTTAGAGCGACCAAGCCGGCCAACCTGGACCTGAAGAAAATCATAACAGATAAGCCATATTTTTATTTATTTATTTTATAGTACAAATTACAGGCCTCGTCCTAAAACTTGCCGTTCATTTTGTAAGTTACAACAGAAATTAAAACTTATAAAATTAACATTTACCGCTTCTTCTTTAAGATGCGATCCTTAACGTATTTGCAAGTTTTACGAATAGGAAAAACAGTTGTCGCCAGTTAATGAAGTAGAGGTAAATCGATAACACAACTGAGGCTCTACTGAAACTGGTGTGATGGTAACAGAACGAGCGGGCTTACAGACACGAGAAGAACAGAACGAAGCGCGCGGCCACGCAATACCTATAACTAGCGTACCGCTATCCGGTACTGGCGTGTGACAATGCTGAAACAAATTTTTCACGCGTTACGGAAAAAAATTCGTGAGTCGTGTTTTACACTTGATGTTATTAGCGTGATAAGGGCCTTTGGAAAGTAGGCAAAATAACAATGAGCTTTATAAAATACATAATGTCTTCCTTGATTATTAGTTTCAAGAATTGATTGAGTGATATTGGCTAGATGAAGACGCTTTACATGAAATATGAAACGTCTAAGCTTGCCTAGACTCGTAGGGCGATCGACCATCTCCTGGGAATAAATTTGACGGTGTTCAGCTGTATTAAGTATCGAATGTACCTGCATACTTTTATTGAGCCTCACTGGACTTTAATCCCGTATATAGTACTTACCTTGTTTGGTGCCACCACATAAACGTGTTCAGCGCGAAGATCTCCGTGCACGATATGATTTACGTGAAGATAATGGAAAGCTGTGGAAACCTGGCAGAGGAATGTGTTCATGTCTTCTATCCGACATTTTCTACTGAGGACAAAATCCTTTAAATTTCCACAGGGTAATCTTGGCGAGATCTAATGAGAGAAGAATAAGTAAATGAAA